TTTTGTTCATAATATATGATGATGATGCTATAAAAGATTAATGCACATTAACAACAAAAAATCATACACAATATTTAAGTTAATTTTATACAGTGATAAGATTAATGCATATTAACAATAAAAAAATATGCTCGTAAATGAATCAAATGTTTAGCGAACCGTTCGAATGGAAATTCTTTTATGTTCGTTTATTTATTAAACGAACAAATATGAACAAGATTTTATGTTCGTTTAATTAAATAAACGAACAAGAACAAAGGGTTTGTTCGTTCATTTACGTTTGTGAACATTCGATAATATGTTCGTTTATGTTCATTTGTTTATTTTCGTTTATGTTCATTTGTTTATGTTCTCCAAACCCTTTTGAATTATAAATATTTAATAAATTTTAACCTTAAACTCATTAATTTTTTTAACTCAATTAATTTTAAACTCAAATAAAATGTAACTCAAATCAATTAAAAAATATAAATCATAAAATTATTTGAAAAGAAAAAAACTTTCTCAAATATAAACTCAATTAATTGTATGTTCATTTACGTTTGTTTATGCTCGTTCGTTTGTGTTCGTTTACGTCCGTTTATTTGTGTTTTAATCTTTTATCATTTAAATGAACGAACATGAATGAATATGAACAAGCTAAATTTCTTAATGAACTTACTCGGACAAGAAATTCCATTCTTTTAGTTGTTCGTGTTTGTTCGGTTAAGTTAAATGAACGAACATGAACATATCCTCATTTGTCTTCGTTCGGTTCGTTTGAAGTCCTAACAAAAATCATATAGTTCAAGGCTTAGTAACTACATCACTTCACCAAAATACCAAATTTTAGAACATTTTGTTCGTAATAAATTATTATTAGTATGATGATGTAATAAAAGATAGGGAGAAAATGTTTCTCGGATCAATTTATGAGGCGAAACGAGGATATTGTTAAGTTGAAGTTACCACCCAATTCAAAGCAGAAGATATAGGCAGCAAAATTTTCAAGAGAATTGAAAAGCTAAAACAAATACATCGTTTTGTTTTCTGTATGCAAACTGTATAACTAAGGGTTTGCCGATAGGATCAGGATCAGGCCACTACCTCTCGCAAACATGGGCAGTAGGGCAGCAAAATGAGAATTCAGAAGTAGTAATTAAGATCCGAAGCCGAACATCATCCAGCATTTCTTCTTCGCATCATATCATTCACCGATTCCACTTGAAATTACCTTCAACCTACCTTTCTCTGCTCGTTTCAGACCCTTCTGCAAAACCCATCACAATTGTAACATCACTTAAAGTAGTAATGAATGAGACAGTTCATTAAGACATTGAATGCCATAGGAGTTGAACCACGAGCAACCAATACTATCCAACCATGGTCACAAAATTTACTATATAACGTATTGGATAAACGGCTTGCATATTCTAGAATATCCCCATGGTTCGTCAAACTAAGGTGAAAAGAATTGGAAGAATAAATGAAAGAACGAAATAACTCAATTGGTTACATGTGCTTATTTAAATTAGTCAATATCTCAGTAAAAGTAACCACATCATCACAGCATGCTACAAGTCATGCTCATGCACAAGAGCACGTATCATGGTTACGAGTATCTATACCCCAGCATACCGATAAAGTCTACAATCTCAAATTATTTGAATTCGGGGAACTCCAATACGTAAGGACAGGGGAATGCGTAATAAGAAAAGCAATGAAGTTTCAGTTCATTGATTGTTTGATTCCTTAAAACATGATAAAATTTATAGAAAACAAAAGATGTTCACAGCTGCAAATTCATGTCAAATTCAGATATGCTCCAACTGTCATAAAGGTTAAGTGGTATAAACCTACATACTGGTTATTGAATTAACCAGGCTTATATACCTTTCAGCTAGAAACTTACCAGCTACTAGTCCAATCAATTGACCTAATCTCTTATTATTTTTGGCCGTTTGCACCAAAGAATTCAATAATAGAGGAACTTGAACCACCAAACCTTACATCTCCATCCCCTTGAACTTTCTTTTTGAAATAAGCATACCAAAGTCCTTGCAACCCCTAGGCAAATTCCACTTAATTGGATCCTCGAACTCTAGAGGGAAGAATCATCCAGATTAGGACTATCTATATAGCTTTGTCAGAACTCAGAACTGATTCCGCCCAACAGACAGATCATTAGAATTCAATAATAGAGAAACTTGAATTACCAAACCTTACATCTCCATCCCCTTGCATTTTTTTTTCTCCTGAAATAAGCATACCAAAGTCCTTGCAACACATAGGCAAATGCCATTTAATTGGATTCTCAAACTCTATAGGGAATAATCATCCAGATTAGGAGTATATATTGTAGCACCCCAAAAACATACAACAAATCATCATAAACACCAAATTTATGACTTATCAAGATGCATAGGAGATAGTACTTACCACGTTCAAAATTCAGATTTTGTAGAAAAACAAATGAATACCTCCAAAAATCGAAAATCATTTGATATCGATTAAAATAAGAATTTTATTCGAGAAAACCACACTTGGTCGGATTCAAGGGTTTTCCAAATTTGGGGTGTTACATCTATAGCTTTGTCAGAACTCGGAACTGATTTCACCCACCAAAAGAGTTAGACAGGTTGTTAGCATTAATCAAAGTCCAGTCTCTAGTGTGGTTAGAAAAGAAAATTGATATTCCATAATCCACTAAAAGAAGAGATAAAAATAATACGAAGGGTAACTTAACGCAAAGATGAAAACAGTAGCTATAAAAGATTAGGAATGAAATGTTATAGGCTTATAGCTCCTTTCTTGGAACAAAAATGAAGATAAAACATGACTAAATACTCTAAAAGAAGTCGGTGCCTTCTACGCTGCTACATGAGTACTAATTCTAGATCCCATTCCCACTCACTTAATGCTAATTGCCCAAAAGGAAGATGGATCCAAGAGTAGAAATTAACTTCAATGAAATGGAAACTACATATAAAACCCAGAAGCAATAAACGGAAATGCTACCTGCTTCTGTTCACTTACATGTAAACGAATATTGAGCAATCACATGTTAATCAAAGCATGTGTTTAATCAAATGAGGAAATACAAGAACTGCAAGAATTATTCTAGATCATCAAAAGCTAATCATAATCAACAAGAAAAAGAAAGCTAATCCCTCACCGTTGATCGGATTGGCGGAGAATCAAGATCCACGGAGCGTACGGACATCTTAGCGATCTCAGTGATTGCATCCTCTCTAACCCCAGGCACATCACTGATCAAGTCCTCGTAGGCAGCCTCAAACGCCTGTTGCCAAAACATTGGTAAGCTAATCCGATGGCTGCTAGTGTACACATCCCACATGTGCTTCACCACCTTCTCTCTCTCCTCCATTTCCTAACCAAAAATGAAGCAAGGAAAAAGAACGATTGAGAAAAGAACTTCATACAAAAGCAAAATTAGAAGGAGAAAAAAGGAAGAGAAATTTGTGAGGGGAACATACGAGAACATCTAGATCGTCGTGAATGAGGCTATCAAGATCATCGGAAAAACAGTTGAGGTTACCGGCTGACCAACGGAGAGTAACGGTACCGGTGAACATCGACCAGAATGCCAATAACAAAATCGCAGCTAAAGCCCATAACTTGTAACGGCCTTTACCAAATAAACTCGAATCTGAGTTATCCTTTTTAACATTAGCTAACGTTGTCGTTGCCGCTGTCGTCGGCAGAACGCCGTCGTCCTTCATTTCCTTTTTGCTTGAATTTTCCGTGGCGAATTTATTTCACTGTTCTTGAGCTCCTTTTCTAGTAGAAATGGTGTGGACTTGGATTCGGAAGCTCTTCGATTTGCCCTTTTGGCCTTTTGAGTGAAAGGGACTAAATTTATTGTAAATCGCAATTGTTGACGTTTACCTGATTTGAGGATGATATTGACCGTTGATGTAAATCTAATCATAAATTCAACGGGTCCGCGAGTGTTTTTTTCATTTCTCAACTCTCATATAATATGCGGTAATCCACCGACGCGAACACGGTGCCGAATGGGGTTTTTGAATTTTTTGTATTTAATGTATTTCTCGAATTTAAAAAAAAAATATATGGACTTTTGACAATGATTTTGGTAGTTGACCGTTATAATACCGATATGATATTTTACGGTATTGATATGATAATTTACGATACTGACATGATAGTTCAAGATAACTACTGACATGACAGGATTGTATTTACGGGTGTGTAAATCCGGGTATCCGGATTTTCATGTACCCGATTTTCGGGTACCCGGAACTTCTGGGTCGACGATTTTTCGACTCGTGTCCTGACTTGGATGTTACAGGTACCGGTAATCGGGTATCCGATACCCGGTTTTTTTATTTTTTATTTTCAAAATATTAATTTTAAAAAAATATACAGAAATTTAAATGTTTAAAACTTCGAATTACATACTCTAATATCCGAACATAAAATTTAAAAGTTTGAAATACAAAATCTAATAATCCATAATATAAATAATTCATTATATTTTATATAATTATATATAAAAAAATAAAAGAAAAATAAAAACTAATCGGATACTCGGGTAACCGAGTACCCTGAAAACTAGATTTTGTGACCCGGGCCTGACATGGGAAATGTCGGGCCGGGTACCCGACCCGGCCGGATTTTTTTTTTTAGAGAATTACCCGGTTTTTTTAGATCCGGGTCGGCGGGTCAACGAGTCGGGTCAACCGGGTCGGGTAATTTTGCACACCCCTAATTGTATTGTATGTTTTAAAAGTTGAGGACCTAAATGAAAGTTTTAGAAAAGTTTAGTGACCATTATTATACTTTACCCTTAATTATTTTCATTTAATTAACTAATCCAATAACAATTATATAAATTTAAACTTACAAATGAAAAACAAAAGGGCGGCAAAGCCCTGTATAAAAGACACTTTGCTCGGACAAAAACAGTTCATGTCTTGGGACCATATGATTTGAACACACACTAAAACACAGAGAGCTGCAAAAAGAAAAAGAAAACGATGGCGAAACGCTTCAAGCTAAAGATATCCCGTGTCTTGTTCCAATCTTGCCGATGCAAAGATCCTTGTGATTCCCCCTCAAATCCTGACCCTTCTTTCTTCAGACTTTCTTCTTCTGTCAACCCAATCCCTATTACCCTCCACTTACCCCCATCAGCCCCGCAACCAACTCCCCGTTGCTCCTCCCTCAAACGCCACGTTTCCTCGGCGTTCTCGTCTATGGGTTGCGTTCTCCGATCAAGATCGTCCGCTCCGTGTTTCTCTGAAACTGAACGCAGCGAATCGCATCTGCCGCCGACGCCGGAGTTTTACTGGGAAAGAGAGGATGGATGGCACGTGATCGCCAAAGTTCTCGACGATGAGGAAACCCCTCGTCGTAAAAACTACTACACCTCTGACAATAACGACGATTTTTTCATCTCTCCATCTAAGCCTCCCAACACGGAAAACAGAAAACGACGATGTAAAAAGAAGAAAACGAGGAAGTCGTCAGTGGAAAGCTTTGATGATGAAGAAACAGAAACCCTAGTCTCATCTTCCGGAAGTTTCACAACTGATTCCTCTTCAGCCATACGCAAAGGAATGACCATTAGGCATAGAAGCAGGAGGAAGAGAAACAGGAAAGTGAAGAAGGCAAGAAGGAGCCGTATGATGAGATTATCATCGTCGGAGAGCGAATCGCCGGCTAGACTTTCGAGCTTTTTGAAGCGGATAGTACCATGCACGGTGGAGGGAAAAGTGAGTGAGAGTTTTGCGGTGGTGAAGAAATCAGAGGATCCATGCAAAGATTTTAAGCATTCGACGATAGAGATGATATTAGAGAATCAAATGTTCGAGAACGAGGATTTGGAACAGCTCTTGCTTTGTTTCTTATCATTGAATTCTAGGCGTCATCATGGCGCCATTGTTCAGGCTTTTGCTGAGATTTGGGAGGCTTTGTCTTCTACGGGATCCAATGGTTCTCCAGTTTCATTTGCTCTTAATTTAATCAACTAAATCATTGTCAAAATTAATAAATTATAAATAATTATATTTTACAAGCTTTCTCATCATTTTTTTATGATGTCCCGTCATTAACTACGGCCGTTTTCTTGATATATGACCATCTATCGTTTTTTATCTCGATCAGTCACCATTCAGATTACATTTTTTTGATCTAACACCTTTTACAGAAAGACGCATCCCTTGAAACACGTTTTACGTTGATTTGATGTCACGTAGCAATCCTTAGGGTGCGCCTTAGCCCACGTAGGGGTATAGAACAGGACAGGAGCCGCGTCTTAGCTTTATATGATATAATTATGTAAGGTACGGTACAGGTACCGCGTCTTATAGTTTTTCCCGGTTATAAATACCCTTTCCCCTCTGTAACTCCTCACATTTCCTCTCAATTAGAAAAAAATTAATACAACAATCCGGCAATCTTCTCATATTTAATTCAGAAGTTTGTGCGATTTTTCGTTATAAGGTAATTTTGTGATAATTTTTTTATTATACTTATTGTTTATTATAATTATTTGAAAAAATATTATACTAATTGTTGTTAATTAATTTCTGTGTTTGTAAAATTAGAAAGCTGGAGCATACGTCGAAATAGTTTTGCGATACATGTAATAATATAAAATTATATTATTTAAATTATTTACGTTTATGTGTAAAAATTTTATTGTGTTATATTTTCGTTCATATATTATTTATTTAATCAGCTTTGTTTTAGTTTTTTTTTTTGCAGATATAATATTGGCATACTTTTAAACTCAAATAATGACGCGACTTTCAGTTATTGTTTATTATGATGGTGAAATTCGAGAAGATGAAACTGACGTTATTTTCGTATCAAATGAGCGTGTTAAAGTATCATTCAAGAGAAATATAACTCTTGAAGAGCTGATAACGAAGATTTCGAGGAAGATTCATGTTGGAAGTAGAATAAGAATGTCGTCGTTGCAGTACAGATTTCCAACATCATTGTTGTCATTAACTTATACAGCGTTCAAACTTTTGAACAATGATGATGTTGAAAATAATGGTTGAAGCTCAAAGTAATTATTCAGACGCTGATATTGAGATGTATGCAAATTTTGTTTAAGTGCGTGCTGTTCGGGGTCAATCATTAAGCTCCCACTATGGGCTGGCTGAACAAGTTGATCAAGTTGACAGCCCGACGATAGTAATGTGTAATGATTTTAATGCCATAATGGGGAGACATTCATCCACAACTCCTTACGATATGTACTGAGGTGGGTCGACGAACAATTCGTATGGCAACATCGCGTCCAGTTCAAGGGGAAGACATTCATCTGTAAATCTCTTTGACCTTAATATAGAGATGTCATCGACGCAACAATCTGTGCAGTTTCCATTTGACACAATGGCTTCAAGCTCCAGGGGAGGCATTCGACTGCGAGCTTTTTCGATCTCAATGTTGATATGTCTTCCAGTTCAAGGGGAAGGCGTACAAGTAGCAGGTTCTTCGACCTAAATGTGGAGAGCATAGAGGAACCATCATCTCCACCAGAAGAACCGCTTCGTGAGCCTGGTGCGGATGGTGCTGAGACTGGACTATTCATTCACCCAGAATCACCGTAATTCAACTCCGATGATGATGTGGATGAAGTTCCAGCAAATGTGGCACAAACTGACCCTCCAGCACACATGTATGAAGCTGATTATGGTGCAATATATGGGCTAGAATTTGCGGATATGCCTCATCACGGTGACTATGAATATTACTCATCAATAAATAATTGTGAGTTATATTTAGGCATGGAGTTTTCAAACAAAGAAGAAGTGATGATGACTATAAAAAAATTACAATATCTATAATTTTGTTCAATCGAGAGTCGACCGCTCCACGACAGAAAAATATGTATACTAATGTGCCCGACTCAAAAACGGATGCAATTGAATGGTTCGCTTATCGAAGAAGAAGAAGAGGAAAAATAACAGATAAGAACTAACAATATACAACGGTCCTCACACATGTTGTGCTGCAGGGGTCAACCAAGATCATCCCAACTTAGACTCTGAAGTGATATGTCAAGCCATCATGCCCATGGTAAAAGCAAGCTCTCATATAGTTGTTGCTGTGTTGATTTCAGCTATACAATCACAGTATCGGTACACTGTCTCCTATAAAAAAGTTTGGTTGGCAAAATAAAATGCCATTGTCAAACTTCATGGCGAATGGGATGCATCTTACAACGAACTTCCAGGATGGTTTAGGCTGGTGCGGAGGTTGAATCTTGGGACAATTGTGGACTTCGAAACCTCCTATGCATACCATAATGATCGAGTTCTCCGCGATCGATGCCAATTCTACCAGGTTTTTTGGACTTACCCACAGTGCGTTAATGCTGTCAAATACTGCAAGCCTGTGGTCCAGATCGACGAGACTTTCTTGTATGGAAAATACAAGCAAGTTTTATTATTGGCAGTTGTCCAAGATGACAATCGCAACATTCTTCCAGTTGCTTTTGCTCTTGTCGAAGAAGAAGATACATATTCTTGGGCTTTTTCCTCCGAAATTTACGTGCACATGTTATCATGAGGGAAAAAATCTGTGTCATTTCAGATCGCGGAGCTGGGATCAAAGCAGCAATGGAGTCTTTGGGTCCAATGTGGCAACCACCCTTTGTCCAATATAGGTATTGTCTACGACATATTGCTGCGAACTACCATAGAAGATACAAGAGGAATAATGAGTATCAATTACTTGTGCGCATGGGTAAGTGAAACTGATGTAGTTTGTTTTCTTTCGATCCTTTTGATCAGGTTAGTAAGTTATACATTTTTTAATCAATTTACGAACTACTTCCTCGAATATTTGAATCAATGCTTCAAGATTTACGGACGAAGAACGAGGAAGGATACGATTATATCAACCTCATCGATAAAGAAATATGGACGAACACATATGATGGTGGATATCGATATAGACATATGACGACCAACTTGGCATAGGCAATCAATTCAACCTTAAAGGGTACACGTCACTTACCTGTAGCGGCTTTGGTAAAGACTACATATTTTTTTAGGGTGCTTTTTGCGAAGCTCGGGGGACAATCTCAATGTTTGATGCAAGGCGGTCATGTCTATCACCCTAGATTAGTTGCAGATCTATAGAAAAAAAATTGTTGTATCAAATGGAATGTCTGTAACAAGCTTCTCTAGAAGGCATGAAATGTTTCGTGTCATAGAGTTGCCACGACCTCTTTAAGGGATTGAAGTTGTGCCGTTGAGAGTAAATCTAAGGGATAGAACGTGCTACTGCGGGTTTTTTCAAGCTCTGAAGTATCCATGCTCTCATGTGATAGCAGTTTACTCGCATACATGTCATGACTATAACCATTTTGTGGATCCCGTATACCTACTATCTGAAGTTTTTAAGGTATACGAATTTGAGTTCCCCACATAGGTAATGACAAAGACCCTGATGAGGTTCAATATTGGCTTCTGATTGTACCAAATCCGAGTTTATTGAGGGAGCGTGGTAGTCCAAAATCCAATAGAATTCATTGCGATATGGATATTCGAGAAAGATCTAGACAAGACAAAAGATGTGGGCATTGTAGAAACCTAGGACACACTAGAAAAACATGTCCATTTCTGTTGTCATCAAGTAACAATTGATGAGGAAATGATGTAGTTGTTTATCAAATAATAATTATTGTACTTTAATTTGCAATTACTTCAAGTTAATGTTATTCGATAACCGCTGATGAAGATTAAAAAAACCATACAATTATACGAGATTGGACGTTGGCATTATATTAACGAATAACTGATATTAACGATATAATAAGTATTAAATGGTAAATGATAACCAAATTACAATAACTAATATTAAATGGTAATAAACAAAATTAAGCAAAATAAATTAACAAAAAGTCTAATAAATTTAACAAAATAAATTAAAATAAATCCAACCACATTAACGAATTTAAAAAAATATTAAATGATAAATAATAAAAAATTACAATAAAAAAGTCCAATAAACAACTACAATAAAAAGTATTAAATACAAATATAATAAAAAAAATCTATCGATGTCTGCGACGCGAATGTGTTCTGCAAGGCGGTGGCTGTCGGTCTCGAGGATGATTTCTTCGTATCACTGGTTGTGACTCCTCGCTGTCATCATCATCGTCGTCCTCGTCCTTGTCCTGAGCAGCTAAATTTTGTTGATGAGGAGTTGATGACGATGAAGCACCTCCATAGAATAAAGACTCTGGCGGTGTATGACTGACTATCCCACCGGCCTGCGAAAACTGGGAAAACTCATAAAACCCAGACATCGTTGAGTGTGAAAACTATACAAGAGGTGTATTGATGCGGCCATGGGTGATGAGACTGAACCCGCCAAAATGTGGGCATATGAACCCCAAGTCAGATCTACAAACATAGACCCATAATAGCCTTCAGGAGGGGTCATATAACTCTGTGAAGGTGGCGGCGGTGGGGTCATAAAATCAGGTGATGGTGGTGGCGGCGACATCGGGTAAGGGAATGGCGGTGGCGGCATAACATATGGTTGCGGTATGTAAGTCGCTGTAGACGGTGACTGCTGTGAAGGTCCTGTTGGTGCAGCTGAGGATGAACCGGAAGCACCTGCTTTCTGTTCACGAGTCGGGGGACGATGGTGCTGTGTTAGTGAACGTCTTTGTCGATGTCGTGAAAAGGTCCACCCTCGTACATCCTCGGGAAACAGAAACAGTTTCCCGTTTCTGTTGAACCACTCATAATAATCATCACCAACCGTCAAGTGATCAACATAAATGGGCTCTGTACGGGGAAGGCGCCGATGTCGATCCTCCCACAACACGACCTACTCATGATGCCTCACCAGCCAATCTGTATCGCTCTTGCCGCGTCTATCTATGCTATGCAACTCGTCCATATTGCGAGGTGCTTCCGGAATTGGTTGAAAACAACAAAATTGCCGGAGCACGCGATCAGTGGAGTGCCACTCGACGGTCGCATAACAGATCAAAGGG